ACACAAAACTCACGTGGCTGGGGACAATCATAATTTCAGTAACGGTGTGTTGGGACTCTAATTAGAATAGAAAACTCGAACGAATCAATAGTGAAATTAAAATTATATTTGGATAGTACAGGTCCTGATTAGCACACACTCAAACTACATCAAATCCGTAGAAAATTGATTGATTTCTGTCGAAACACAAACTTTGAAAACATTTCTGTGATTTTACACTTCCTGTAGTAACATGTTTTAGAAATACAAACACTCAACATTCATCATTGTGCCTGACCGTGGAGGCTCCCACTGTAGACACAGTATCAATACAGAATAGGTTTGTAAATCGTGGAATCTCAGCAAAATTGTATATCTATTGACAAACCATTACAGAACGATGAACCACACCTCGTCCTCTCTACAGTCTGCACAGCATCCTCTCACCACCCTATAAAGCTAGCATACACCACAGGGACCAGGCTTCGGTATCACAAACGTACTTAAGCTGAGATTTGAGTCCGAACTCAAGAACTCAAGCTCAGCGTCCGTATTTCGTTATCACAAACTAAAAACTCAGCTCAACGCCTCAAGCTGAGCACAAAAAGCTGAGACTGTTTGATCTAAACCCCTTAAACGTGTAAAATTACTCTAAGTTTAATCTCAGTTTAGGTCCAAATATAGCTGTAACGAGAGCACCCCAATGATGATATATAATATTACGACTAGTATGTTTCGTCAATGAGGTGGGTTTTTGCCGAAAATTGATCTAAACCCCTCAAATATTTAAAATTACTCCGAACATCCACGTTTAAATCCAAATATTGCAGTAATAAATTATCAGATCAATGTGGTCTACACGATATACTATCGCAATATCCGACAATGTCCAATATATAAGAAAGTACGGTTTTGAAAATGTTGATCAACAACTCCAAATATTAAATTTTGTTCATTCATTGTGTGAAATTGTATTGATAATTTTATCGGTCCATTGTGTGATTTAAAGTGTTACATTGATTCCATGTTTTTGCTGATATGACAGGTGTAAATATTTATATATAATGGAAATATTTAATAATACATCTGTGTTTCCATGTTTTACACTTGTCTGAGTAACGATGTTTTACACTTCAATGTTTTACACTTGTCTGTGTACCAATGTTTTACATTTCAATATCTTTCACTTGTCAGTGTACCAATGTTTTACACTTCAATGTTTTACACTTGTCTGTGTACCAATGTTTTACACTTCAATGTTTTACACTTGTATGTGTACCAATGTTTTACACTTGTCTGTGTACCAATGTTTTACATTTCAATGTTTTTCACTTGTCAGTGTACCAATGTTTTACACTTCAATGTTTTACACTTGTCTGTGTACCAATGTTTCAATGTTTTACACTTGTCAGTGTACCAATGTTTTACATTTCAATGTTTTACACTTGCCTGTGTAACTATGTTTTACACGTGTTTGTGTAACAATGTTTTACACTTGTCTGTGTAACTATGTTTTACACGTGTTTGTGTAACTATGTTTTACACTTGTCTGTGTACCAATGTTTTACACTTGTCTGTTTAACAGTGTTTTACACTTGCCTGTTTAACTATGTTTTACACCTGTTTGTGTAACAAACATTTCCTGTTTTTGTTCTTCGTCTTTATTTTACATTTAATTGTTTAACACTTGTCCGTGTTACAATATTTTCTTCCTTAACACATATTTTTTAAAAATATAACAAAAAAAATAAAAATAAAAAACATTTTTCCTGTCCAAACCTTTTTTGTTGATTTTTCTTTGTTAGTTGGATTTTTTTTTAAACAAAATGTATGGACTACTAGTACTCGATATCACATAAAGAAAGCGTGCACAAATTCGAGTTGAGATCAAGCGATATTCCATAAATGGCTGTTAAGTGTTAAAACACCTATGACGTAAGTGAGAAATCAATGACGGTAATTACTGTGTACAAAATAATAGTGTTCCAGCCAGCTACTGGACCAAGCCAATATTTAACCTATTCTAACGAGTAGGCACCGTCACAATGTTGTTTGAATCGACTACAAATGAATGAACTCTACTGAAGTAAAGATGTGATTTAATTGATAATACAACAAATTGATGTTTAAAAATGTGTACAAAAGTGACTAAATAAATTCTACCATAGTTTGCTGTTTTGATATTAAAAAACTTAGACAAAAGAGACTTAATAAATCATAACATAAATTGGTGCTTTGAATTAAAACAGGATATAAAGTCGAGTATACAAACGCCACAAGGGAGCCATATGACGTTGCTTTAGAACTGTCAGTAAGCATTGGAGTAATGAGACTGAAGTATTAATGAAAATGCCTGACATCACCTTCTTTACTTTTCATAGGATTTCCTTTACAGCTCTATTAACTAAGTTCGTGACCAGTAAACGAATATCCGGATTTGACTTTTGAAGATATACTTCAAAAATTGACATCAGAAACACCCAGGACGGAAATGCCTATCGATACTCTTGCAATCATGGCTGTGTTCCGAAAGTCCTATTGGTGCACCACTTGACTAGTAAAACGATTGTTCCGGAATCAGCTATTAGTAGAAATACTGAATTGACCCCAGAAACACCAAGGAAGGAAACAGAAAAGATTAACGCTTATCGGTACTCTCCCAATCATGGTTCTGTTCCGAAAGACTCCATGCCTGACACGCGTTGTGGTATCTACGCTCAAGGATTGCGGATCCCGAAAGGACGGGACAGGTCTACTCTCTGTACATGGTTTCTACACTTGCATACTATCGGGACAAAATCAGTTACGTTCAGATTTACCATTAAGCATATAGGATTCATGGTTAATGTGAATGAAACAATTTTCGTTCAAACTGGCATGAATATTACAAACGATCGTTCACCGTCTAATGTTGGTAAACACATTATGTCGAGAAAGCACAGTATGTATAAGACCTTTGACATCAACTTGTAAAGTGACGTTCCTGTGGTTATTTCATGGCACATCAATTAACCAGTCAAGTGCCACTTACTTTACAGTCTTATTAATAAGTACGATCAAATACGATGATATCCTTCAGACAAGCAACATTTTCTGGTTAATATGTCAGTGGTGTTTTATAAAAATATATTTTATATCATAGAGCAAAGGTCCGGAATTGTCGACTTTCCATCATGACTTCATTGATTGACGTTGACCTTGAAGTAAGGGTCCGCAAATATTCAATGACAGATATCCTAATGATGGTTCATGAGTGGAGAGTTCCATCAGAATTTTCGTTAGGGAAGTAGTTCCCTAAACAAACAAGGAAAATAGATAAAGAATAAAAACGCTACAAATTCCTAATTTTTAATGCTTGACCTAAGAAAATATCATATGTTGTTATTAAGTCATATTCCTGGTAAGCTGTATATACCAAACGGTACAGTGATAGCCAAATCTTGAGGGTGTGTAAGGTTGAGGCAATGATTAGTCTAAGTAAATGGTCTACCGGCAGACAAGATAACCTAAACTGGCTATTTTCGGCTGAATAGTGGAGTGGTGCTGATCAGTGATTATCACCTGTTTGTTTGACAACATAACAGGTGAGTCATAATGTTCACACCTGGCAGGTACATCTGGATACCTAGCTGTCCGTCAGAATTAATCTGAGCCCGCCGCTATATCCACACATTCACGGACATTTCTGACCACTGCTGTACCAGCTTTGTCTTTATTTCATATAAACAGCAGTGATACTATAATAGGAAAAAGAGTAGTGGGTCTATACCAGGGATCGAACAAGCAACCTCAAGCTTCCCAGTCCACCGAAACTCCCACTAGCTAAAATGTGAGTTGTAGGCATGAATGGCAACAGATAGTGAAGCCCGAAGTAAAATGACATCTGGAACATGAAAGTCAGTTTGAGTTTCCTGCTGGAATCGACAGACTACAACAGAGGTACCTATCGCGAAAGGTCAAAACAATACTAATGCACCAATGCCACAATAAAACCAGATTGAAAAAGAACGGTATACGAAAAATAGCATTACTGTGCAAGAGAATTGTCCTTTCATCATATGTTCTCGCTTAAAATGAATAGGTTTCGAAAAAAAAAAAATCAGAAGTTAAGAATGTTGATGGGTGTCAATCTATTAAAATACCGTGGGTTAAATCGGAAATTAATGGCATCCACATTTGATAAGTCCTGTTTAAGATGAAGACAATCGGGACAGGCTATTAAAGACAATGCGATATCACATGTCCATATATACAGGCATTACACGGGTGATTACACCAATATCTGAATGCCCTGACCTATGCATGACCTCTGTGTCAGATTATATGTACACACACGCAGTAATTATGTCCTAAACGTGACATAAACCTCTGGGTTATTAGTGTAACTGCTAAGCTGTTTAATATTTAACGCGGGAACTTTCTTAACCGTCACACAAACTGTAGCTGTCTTTATGACAGATAAACACTGCAAATGACAATGAAGATTAAATATCTAACAACAGAACTCACTGAAGTGAGGATTTTCCTTTCATCTGGTCGAGTCCTTGAACAGATAATAACCCATTCAACTGGTCTCATAAGCGAGTCTTCCACAAACATTTCTAGATGTTTAGTCACTCCATAAATTTATATTTTGGAAAGGATTGGAGGTTGTTTTTTTAAAGAAATACTGAAGTAGATTCGCATGACACATTACAATTTCTGTATTTGTAATAAAAAATATACGACACTTAAATGTAATCGGCAAATACAAACACCTGTTTTGTCCGTATTGAACATTGAATGTGAGAAATAAACCGTCTTGCTTTCAATATTCAGCAATGTGATGCTGTCCGTATTCATAATTTTATTAAGCTGCATTTATAGCTAACTTAGATGCCATGTTTCTTCAACATACACTGCCGACTTAGTATATGTGTTGACATTAAAAACGATTTGAGTACCAACCTACATTTATCAATGAAATCATGTTTATTTTCAACATTAAGTACGTACATGTATCGAACGTCCAGCCTACTTACCTTTGCCCGTTCGTTGATCTGTGCCCCTAGGTCCAAAAGTCGTTCGGCCACCACTAGTTTGTTCTCCTTGACAACCACCATCAGAGGTGTCTGTCCCGTCTCCTAGAAAACACAACGAAACATCATATATAATATAATAAAGATAGTATTCCCCGTCCCCTAGGAAACACATTAAAACATCATATATATTATAATAAAGAAAGTATTCCCCGTCCCCTAGGAAACACAACAAAATATCATATATAATATAATAAAGATAGTATTCCCCGTCCCCTAGGAAACACAACAAAATATCATATATATTATAATAAAGATAGTATTCCCCGTCCCCTAGGAAACACATCAAAACATCATAAATAATATAATAAAGATAGTATTCCCCGTCCCCTAGGAAACACAACAAAACATCATATATAATATAATAAAGATAGTATTTCCCGTCCCCTAGGAAACACAACAAAACATCATATATAATATAATAAAGATAGCATTCCCCGTCCCCTAGGAAACACAACAACACCTCATATATAATATAATAAAGATAGTTTTCCCCGGCCACTAGGAAACACATCAAAACATCATATATAATATAATAAAGATAGTATTCCCCGTCCCCTAGGACACAAAACAAAACATCATATATAATATAATAAAGATAGTTTTCCCCGTCCCCTAGGAAACACATCAAAACATCATATATAATATAATAAAGATAGTATTCCCCGTCCCCAAGGAAACACAATAAAACGTCATATATAATATAATAAAGATAGTATTCCCCGTCCCCTAGGACACACAACAAAACATCATATATAATATAATAAAGATAGTTTTCCCCGTCCCCTAGGAAACACATCAAAACATCATAAATAATATAATAAAGATAGTATTCCCCGTCCCCTAGGACACACAACAAAACATCATATATAATATAATAAAGATAGTATTCCCCGTCCCCTAGGAAACACAACAAAACATCATATATAATATAATAAAAAAATGGTATTCCCCGTCCCCTAGGAAACACAACAAAACATCATATATAATATAATAAAAAAATGGTATTCCCCGTCCCCTAGGAAACACAACAAAACATAATATATAATATAATAAAAAAATGGTATTCCCCGTCCCCTAGGAAACACAACAAAATATCATATACAATATAATAAAAATAGTATTCCCCGTCCCCTAGGAAACACAACAGAATATCATATATAATATAATAAAGATAGTATTCCCCGTCCCCTAGGAAACACAACAAAATATCATATATAATATAATAAAGATAGTATTCCCCGTCCCCAAGGAAACACAATAAAACGTCATATATAATATAATAAAGATAGTATTCCCCGTCCTCTAGGAAACACAACAAAATATTATACAGTGTACAATATAAACTCCGCTATTCAGCCGGCACAATAATTTATCATATATAATAAATTTAATATTTTCATGAGAAATTGAAATTTCTAGATGTTTCTGTTTCTGCTTCTGCCAAGTAATGTCCACAATCATCACTTTGATTATAATGACATTTTTGTTTTTGGAGTGAGCATGGTTAAAAATTGGTTAAAAACAGGATAAAAAGATGGAAATTAGGCCAGTGACACAGATAACCGAGATCTGAAGACCTCTAGGTCATCTGATATGTGTTTTAGCCGAACTTGTCATGATGTCGTCTTGGGTCGCGTTGTAACTGTCGTTTTGCGGTTACGGTAGATAGGAGAAAATAGATCTTGTTGTTGTCAATGGACACCTAACACAAAACAATCGTCTTGTTTAGTCATTCCAGCACTTACCATCAGATATAGACTAGCCCCCGTCTCTAGAATATTGAATTATTCAGAAAAAAATTGAACTCAAAAATGTTTGATCACTTGGATGTCTGATCCTAAGTTCTAAACTAGGGGGAGATAAGCTAGAAGTAAAATGAAGCCGAGAAATTCTTGATAAAAACTTAGGGGCTGGTATCAAGCCTACATCAGATACAACAGTGAAAGCTTTTAATTGTAGGTTAAAAATTGATAATGATATTAATTCAGCCAATTTGGTATCTACAGCCTCAAAACGTCAACAGTGGTATCACTTTATGTATAGTATATATCGAGACAAAATAAGAAACGCGCAGGGGTGTTTCTGTGTACCGTAAAATGTACTGTTGAAATAATTTACAACCATTCCAACCATCATGAAATGTTTCTTTCAGTCCCTTTCTACAAAAGTTAGTGTTTCTTATGAATCACATCTTGCAATGCATTTAACAAAATACTAGTTGTTCGAAATAAAATTTCTCAAGTAGTCCTAAAAATGTTGCAGAAAGTTTTAAACGTGTCAAACAAAACGACCGGTAGCGCCGTGAATAACATCTCTACTTTATGATCATGAGGTCCAGAGATGGTTAAATAAATAGGAAAGCAACCTCCGAGTAAGAAAAATACAGAACAAATTGGGACTTTTGTAGAGGGATACAACACTGAGCGCTGGGGCTCTCTACATGATTGTCAGTTGCGTGTTGCAGAAACAACGCGTCTGTCGCTCGAAGAATCGTTGATGGTGTCCTCTGGTTGGACCTGCTGTAGTCTTTAAGAAGTATCAATCCGCATTAACGTCAATGAACCATGCATGAACTTGAAGAGTGCCATTTGCTGGTCTTACATTACACGCCGAGAAGGAACAAATTCAAGAACTTTGAGTAGGGTAGTGACCCTACGGTAACTGCCGAAGTTGCAATCTCTTAACGAATAACTCTACCCAGGACTTTCTCCGACTTGTTAAGGTGGGCTTGGATGTTTGTGTCCCAAGAAACAGGATAATAGGTTTTGTTAGAAGAAGGCATTGGTATATAGAATTAGCCTTCTTGCATATGGCGTCAATATGCTACCCCTGTGTGGCTTGCGTAGGTCGACCGCTGTGGGTTCTTCTTGTTGGTAACAGAGATGACCTCACACTTACGGAGTAAACGCTTATCAACGACTCGTGTTTCCGTTTCTGCATTCTGCTGTGTCTATACACCTAAAACAGCGGGAACCATTGTTGGTCCTAACCATGTTGTCCGTCAGTCCTAAACTAGTACATAACCGAATGCACCAATCGGGATTGAGGACCGGTAATTCATCAGTTATTTAAATCGGACCGTCCATGACACTACGATGAGGGTGCAAGCGGAGGAAATATCATAATTCTGGCGACCTTCAACCTCCAGCCACTGTTCCATTAAAGGCCTGATATAACACTACGAGAACATTTGTAAGATGAACTTGAAAAATCGGCGGTGAAACGTCGAAATATTCCAAACAATGTTGCTCAACTTTCTTTTGTCTCGTGTATTTAATTATTGACGTTTCGCAACTGTTGTTGGCATTTGTAAAGGAATGGAATATTACCCAAGTAAGAAAATCTTTTCTCAATAATGCCATACACAAACTTATACATCAGATCACATGCGGGACACACCAGGACACGCATTCATAAAGTCGTACCAGTTCGAAAACTGTGATTCTGTGCTCATTCCGAATTTCTTTCTGTGGTGATAAAATGATACAAATAACTAATTTGTCAATTATTTTGAGGAATTTCGGAGAGACTTACACTTATACGCTTCACAATTGAGATTCAACACTGTTACATGATTAAAGCAAGTTATAAAAAAATTCTCCTTTGAGCACAGAATCCATGCATGAGCATGAGAACGTTTTTGTTAATATGGGCCCAGGTATAGCTAGCTGAATTTTCGATACAGATACAGGAAGGTACCTATTCACTTGTGCCGCCGTAGATTTTGACGAAATGTGCAACCTGAAAGCACAGTATTTATAAGAACTTTGACATCAACTTGTGAAGTGACGTTCCTGTGGTTATTCCATGGCACACCAATTAACCAGTCATGTGCCACCTACCTTACAGTCTTATTAAGAACATATTATCAAATACGATGATATCCCCTAGACAAGCCACATTTTCTGTTTAATATATATGATACAGTATACATCATATCAGTGGTGTTTCATTAAATTGATTTTGTATTATGGAAGCAAAGGTCTGGAATTGTAGAGTTTCTGTTATGACTCCAATATGATTGACATTGACCTTGAAGTAAGGGTCCACACATGGCAGACGTCCTAATGATGGTTAGTGAGTGGAACGTTTCGTCAGAATTACTTCGTTTGTGAAGTAGTTCTTCTTCAAACAAATAAACAAACAAAACAAGGAAAAGAGATGGAAGGATAAAAGCAGTTCAAATTCCTGCAATGTTTGATCTGAGAAAATATCAAGTTCTTAGTCTTACTATACTGGTAAGGTTTATATCACATGGTACAGTGATATCCAAGTTTAAGGGTGTATACATTTTGACGAAATGCGCAGTTTCGTGCAAAAATATGTTCAACATACATGTAGGTCTAAAGAGGAATAGCCTAAATATGAAGCCAGACATCTCGCTTCAATATCCAGACATTTTGGAGGAATTACAATACCACAAATGTTGCTGTACTTCTCGTCTTGTTTGGCTTGGTATATATGTCACAACATAAAAATTACGTCGTGGCAGATAGCAACAAAAAGTCCAAAGCTTTTAGGAATCAACGATTGGAACAAAGGCTGATTGTTCTCGGAATGAATCAACCGAGTTATGATTTATGTGGTTAATCCATGTGCGCAATTATACAACCGTCCTGACATCGGATACGGGTTCGTTATCGGGGTTTATGTAAAACCAATGGTGTTCCTAACTCATTTACGGACTCCCGTTCACGGTTATAAAACACAAATCGGGGTAAATGTTGATACGGGGAGATACTATCGAGGCTTAACGATCAATGGCCCGCCCCTGATGGACGGACCAACACGTAATTGTGTAGATTTATGTCTACCGCTCGTGATGCTGGGCCCTAACTCTGTGGACAAGTCGCCATTATATAATAATCCCGGACCGGAACCCCGGCCTGGCGAGACCACATAGCCGTCACACATGCCACCAGTGATTGACGTCTGTTAGATATCTACCTGTACATCGTCACCATTTCAAGATTCCAAGGTCTGAATGACGGGGGTGTTATCTCGTAAATGTTGTCTTAGCATATCATTTCAGATATATATGT